ACGTGAAAGTTAAAAATAACAAAATGTTATTTAGCTAAAGGGATTGAATTATTATTTCTCTTTTGCTATCTCTATATATATATATATATATATATAAATATGCATTAAAATTTTCAGATAGTTTAAAAGTTTGGACTAAGTTCACTGAAACTTATTCATCTCCATTTCGAATATGCCTAGGCCCATATTTATTCATCGTAGTGCATGAACTAGACCAAATAAAGGTAAAAAATAACATTTGCATTCTGCCACTTATAAATATTTATCAACTTAGCTATCTTATATATTATTTAATGTGTAATTTAATGTGTAATTTAATGTGTAATTATATATATTATTTAATGTGTCTCTCCATACAATGCTACAGCGATTTCAGCACATGAAAATAAATCATAAATGTCTAACAATCATATATGTCCGATTCTGAATGGTTTCGGAGTTAAGATAAACGCAGTTATCCTAATAACCGCACATGTATTTATGTCCAGATACTTATACAAAATTTATTATTATTGTATTAATCTCAAATATTTTTTTTATTACTGTATTATAATTTAATTGCATTTAAAGAATATAATTAAATTATATTATTACGTTTTAAAAAGCGTATTTGAGACTAATATTAATTTAATACATAATATTAATTTGAATACATAAAGTGTTGTGTAAGTCCAGTTACTGAGACCGGACAATACCTGTCCGGACAGTTACACAAAACTTTATTTGTTTAAATTAATATTAGTCTCAAATGCTTTTTACCTTAAAAATCCATTTGAATTAGTTGTCTTTTGTCATTAAACATCTATTTATATTAATATGTCCCATCAGCATACCAATTTTCTAATTATAGTCGGACACTGGGATAATTACGACTCAGTGGCCGATCGGCTAACCATCCAATAAACGAGAATAGATTGAAATGAATTGAAATGGATTCAGATTTTCAGAAATATTGATTCACGAATGTTAAAATGAATGCTTTTCAATCCTGAATGCATTTTTATTTATTTATGGGAATTGCATGGAGCATATCTCTATGCCTTTCAATCTAAAAATAATATTAGCTTTTTCTGTGCATAACACAATTGTGAATATAACTGTTCAATTCAAAATTTTAAATAGGAAATGCAGTTTTTCAATCCAATTGCATCCAATTAAATCCAATTAAATCCAAAAAAAGTATTTGCTATTTAAAATGCATTTGGATAAAAAAAATTTCAATCCATTTAAATTTCAATTCATTCTCGTTTGTTGGGCGACCACTGGTTGATGCATTCTATTACTTATTTAAACATTTTAATTAATAATCATTAATGGGTTCGGATAATTTTTCTTTGCTTAAGAGAGTCTTGAATTTTCAAATAAATATTAGGTATACAACTTTGCTTCCGCCGTTTTCCTATAGATGGCTTTAGCGGTAAGTGGTCGAAATAAATAGATCATAGATGTCATATAATAAACTTGGGCATCTGTCAACATAACCCCATAGAAACATTAGTCGATTTGTGTCTGCATCATAAAGTTATTCTCGATTGAAAATGTCAGTTTACGAGCCAAATTCTCGTCATTTGCGGGAGGTTTTAATTTTTTGCTTCAATATGAAGAAATCTGCGGCTGAGGCTCATCGAATGCTCTCAAATACTTATGGTGAGGCCGCTATTAGTGAAAGAACGTGTCGTGAGTGATTTCAACGCTTCAAGAACGGTGATTTTGACGTCCAAGGTCATGCTCTGTATTTGGTGGGACCAGCTCGGCGTAGTGTATTATGAACTGTTAAAACCGACTGAAACAATCACAGGCGATCGGTATCGAACGCAATTGATGCGTTTGAGCCGAGCATTGAAAGACAAACGGCCGCAATACAACGAGAGACACAATAAAGATTTTGCAGCATGACAATGCTCGACCCCATGTTGCGAAAGTGGTCAGGACATATTTGGAAACGTTGAAATGGGAAGTCCTACTCCACCCGCCGTATTCTCCGGACGTTGCTCCCTCTGACTATCACTTGTTTCGATCAATGGCACACGGCCTGGCTGACCAGCACTTCCGGTCTTATGAAGAAGTAAAAAATTGGATCGATTCGTGGATAGCCTCAAAAGATGACCAGTTTTTTCGACGCGGGATTCGTACGCTACCCGAAAGATGGGAGAAAGTAGTGGCCAGCGATGGACAATACTTTGAATCATAAATGTATAACCAGTTTTTTACAATAAAGCCTCGAATTTCGGAAAAAAAACGGCGGAAGCAAAATTGTACACCTAATATATACATAACTGTCTTCAATGAATCTTTGGTTGAAACATCAAGTCATAGAGTTAAAATTTCATATGCTGTTATTGAAACATTTCAATAATAAATTACTTATGATGTAAGTAACGATGCCTTTCCTTAATAGTCATATAAAGAGTAAGAAATAGGAATGTCAAGTAGCATATATACCCATACAGAAAAAAGAGATATTCAGTTAAATGAGTTTCAGTTAGAGCACAACATGTAGCCTGTTCACACTAACTTGAAGCGCTGTTTACATTAACAAACTTTCGGTTAGAGGAACCGAAATTTTCTATCAAGTATGCTGTCATTATAGCGAACCATTCGGTTACTCGCACAGAGTGCGCGAAATGTTAAATTCGGAGATTTATATCGATCTGCGAAATCCCGACAATTTGGTCACTTCAGCGTCTCCTTAAGATATTGGGATCTTAAATATAAGATCCAATTGTGAATACTGATCTGTTTCGCATCGTGAAATTGGTACTGAATCTTTGAGTCTTGCATAAAGAAAGATTCAGTACTAATTTCATGACGCGAAATAGGCCGGTATTCGTAGTCAATTCTTACATTTAAAATTGTCTTAAATACAGTTGTCTTAAGATGTCATAAGTCAATCCGAGGACTGTATTAGCATTATCTTAAGACATTATTTAAGACATTATTTAGTTTTAAAAACGAACTATGAATCTCCTATATTTCGTGTTTCACAGTTGATAGTTTCTATGAATAGATGAAAGGACAGAGATTTAGAAAGAGACACTGCACATACCATGCGAAGCGATTCCCATCCCATCCCTCCCCCCCCTCCCCATAGCCTATACAGTACATGGAGTATTAGAAAATTATGTAACATTTATGAGATTTGTTGATAACTTTTTAACAAATGGCGAGCGATGGCTAAAATTTGTTTAAGGCCACAGGGTCATGATATCCTGCATAATTATCGTGTGTCGATGTTGACGGAAGAATTTTTTAAAGCATTAAATAAAATAATATTAAATAACATGTGTACTACGATGTTTTATTACTTTAATATCGTATAAGGTGTATGTCGTATAAGTATATGTAAATATCTCAGTAACCGAATATTTAAGCGTTAAGGTTGTCATAAATAATACAATTTATAATATATTAGAAGGTTTTTTAATATAAATATTTGTATTAGGTGTACAACTTTGCTTCCGCCATTTTTTTTTCCGAAATTCGAGGCTTTATTGTAAAAAACTGGTTATACATTTATGATTCAAAGTATTGTCCATCGCTGGCCACTACTTTCTCCCATCTTTCGGGTAGCGTACGAATCCCGCGTCGAAAAAACTGATACATCTTTTGAGGCTATCCACGAATCGATCCAATTTTTTACTTCTTCATAAGCCCGGAAGTGCTGGTCAGCCAGGCCGTGCGCCATTGATCGAAACAAGTGATAGTCAGAGGGAGCAACGTCTGGAGAATACGGCGGGTGAGATAGGACTTCCTATTTCAACGTTTCCAAATATGTCCTGACCACTTTCGCAACATGGGGTCGAGCATTGTCATGCTGCAAAATCTTTATTGTCTCTCGTTGTATTGCGGCTGTTTGTCTTTCAATGCTCGGCTCAAACGCATCACTTGCGTTCGATACCGATCTCCTGTGATTGTTTCAGTCGGTTTTAACAGTTCATAATACACTACGCCGAGCTGGTCCCACCAAATACAGAGCATGACCTTGGACGTCAAAATCACCGTTCTTGAAGCGTTGAAATCACTCACGACACGTTCTTTCACTAATAGCGGCCTCACCATAAGTATTTGAGAGCATTCGATGAGCCTCAGCCGCAGATTTCTTCATATTGAAGCAAAAAATAAAACCTCTCGCAAATGACGAGAATTTGGCTCGTAAACTGACATTTTCAATCGAGAATAACTTTATGATGCAGACACAAATCGACTAATGTTTCTATGGGGTTATGTTGACAGATGCCCAAGTTTATTATATGACATCTATGATCTATTTATTTCGACCACCACTTACCGCTAAAGCCATCTATAGGAAAATGGCGGAAGCAAAGTTGTACACTTAATATATATATATATACAAGATGTCCCATTTTAAATAATACATTAAGATTTCTCTCTAAAATTAGATGGTAGATACGGAAAAATATTTCAAACAAAAAGTTATATGGTTCGGAGAAGAACATAAGAAAGTACTATTGATTTGACCTTGGGCGTCGCCAAAATCAAATCGATTTTTTTTAATGGAATGGAATCTTATTTTTGATGACAGAATTTAAGTTGGTATTAAGAGCTTTTCAAAACGTTGCAATAAAATTATTTTCCATTACGTATTTTTCAAATTACCAGATTTGAAGGTTACAATACCGCCGGCATTACGCAAGATATCCGACCAATGATTAAAACCTCTTGAATGTTGTTCAGGATTATGTCCTGGATAATATTTCAAGATCAAGGCCTTTGAAGGTTGTACCTCTTATTTTAATTTTTTATCTATCTATCTATCTATCTATCTATTTGTTATCCAGATCGCGATTCTGAACAACATTTAAGAGGTTTTAATCGTCGGTCAGATACCTTAAATAATGCTAATGCCGACGATATTTTAACTTTCAAGCCTTGCAACTCAAAAAGTATTTCATGAAAAAAAATGTTATTATAGTGTTTTGAAAAGCTCTCGAAATGTGTTAAAGAATATGCAATGAATAAGAAAGGATTCCATATGAAAAGTTGATCTTCTAACTTTGAAATATGCTTTCAAGGTCAAATTTAAGATCCTAACATATTCACTCCCCCCCCCCTCAATCACATAACTTTCCTCTCTTGTATTTTTTTTGGAAAAATATTTCCTTTCCAAGTTATTAGCGCAAAAAGATTAAAATGGACTACCCTCTATGTATAAGTAAACAGTTTCACGCGAATTCTACACTTATTTACGATTTTGTGGATTATGTAACTCTTCCAACATGTAAAAATATGAAATTGTTCACATGAATTTTTTCGTCATATATTAATATTAATATATATTAATTATTTGATTGAAGCAAACATACGTAAATGCTAATAAATGTGTGATGTTGTAGGCTGTTTTAAAAAACCGCCATAGTTTGGATAAAAGTATTGTATATAACTGTCTAAAACCAGTATTTGACTTGGGATTACTGACAGCTTCTGGTAAGATATACTTAGACAAATAGAATATTTATTTAATTGTATAACTTATTTAATTAATAGATTTATACTAAAAAATGTTGACAATAAAGACTATCTTTTTATAATCATCTATTTATTTATTTTACAATGTAAAATAGAGAATGCAACATGAACGACATTATGCATTTATTTTTATTTTGTATTTCACTTTAATTTCTAATAAATCCTAATAAGTTTTTCTCTTCATGTAAGATATTTTTGTTTGCACTTTGATAACTATGCCACGAAGCTATTAAGTAGCTTATTTTTAAATAATTTTTTATTATTATTAATTAAGGCTTTTGTTTCTTTCTCTTTTATTATTTTGTTGTAATATTTGATTTAGAATCTACATGGACTGAAAGTCGAAAAATAATAGCTCCAGCATTTGGTATGATGCCGATGAAAGAATATTTTAACATATTCGTTCAAGAATCTTTAATACTTACTGAAGATTTAGAAAAAATTGCACAAAGTGAAAACGAAATTGAATGTCTTGACCATCTTTGCAGATGTACCTTAAAAATTGCATGTGGTAAGACAATGCAATTTATTCTATTTTTAAATTATGTACACGTATATAGTTTTGTAAAAACAATTACAAAAAAACGATTGGAATTATAAAAATTTAAAGAATCAAAAGACTGTATACAATATAAAAAAAATTAATTTTAATTATTAATTAATTATTATTCATAAGAAAAAAATTATATGAAATTAAAAAAGGATATTAAAAATTTAATACTTTTACAAAATTTATTACTTTTTACATAATTGCGTAAATTAATCATTGGAAATTGTTTGTGAGATTTTCTAGAATTTTACTAGATTACTATTTGTAGGTTTAGGGAAAATTATGAAAATCGTTATTTACTATTTATTCCCGGGAAAAAATATTTCATATATAACTGTAATTATATATATAAAATTATAGATAATTATGTATAATTATATGAAAGTATACATAATTATATATATAAGTATATATAATTATATACAGAGTGTCCCATTTTAAATAATGCATTAAGATTTTTTGAAAATTATGATAAAATACGGAAAAATGTTTAAAAAAAAAGTTGTATAGTTAGGAGGAGGACATAAGAAAGTATCATTGATTGGATCTTGTGGCGCCAAGGTTAGATCAAGGTCATATCGATTTTTTTTAATGAAACACTATTTTTGATGACAGAATTTAATAGCTGGTGTTGAGAGTTTTTCAAAACGCTATAAAAAAATATATTTTCATTAAGTACTTTTTGAAATTATGATGTTTGAAGATTACAGTCGGCATTAGCTAAGGTGTCCGATCGACGGCTAAAACCTCTTGAATATTATTCGGGATCATGTCTTGGATAACATTTATCCAAGATCAAGGCCATTGGAGATTATATCTTTTATTTTCATTTTTAATCAAATCCCACTTAATGTACTTTAAAAATAATTAAAAAACTCTCTAGTAAATATCTATTTGAATCTCTTAGAATAGTTTAAATTTGATATAGAAGTATTGGATTTTTTATCCATTATGGAACTTCTTGCCCCGCATATAAGATAAGAAGTGCCGATAAGAGCTTCCTCTGCAAATTTTATAATATGTTTTTAATGAAAGGTAAATGCGCATATTTTTTACATGCCTTTTGTAGTCAAAGATCCCTAGTTTCGATAAATAGCAGCATGATCTGTGTGAGTTAAATATTCTTTATTTTAGTGCATTTTACTCCCTGGTCTACCCTATAACATTTTCTAGGTTGATTACGAAAAAATAGTCACATAAAGTGTTTTATAAACTTTATCTTTGATATGTCTTTAAAATAAAATCATTTATACATTTACGCGTTGAAAGAGTAATAAATATAGAGATATGATTTTTTTAATCCCATAATGTACAGATCATTTTATTTGCGATAGGTATCTCGAAAGAAATGGAAGGCGTTTTAATGTAATTATAATAATAAAACAATCTATAGACGCAGAACGCGGGTCGCAGATTGCAAGTGAAATATATTTCAGATTAAAATAAGTCACAGACCGCAATAGGACGCAGGGTGCGAAAGTTGAATCAATTTTCTACGTCCTACCTAAAGCCCGATCTACATAAGACGTAGATCGCAGATCGCAAAATTAGAAATTAACCAACTAACTTAACATATTTTAATTATAATATGGTTGTAGGACGCAAAACACAGAACATAAAAAGTTGGATGAACTTCAACTTTCGCATCCTGCATCTTGCATCCTACATATTACAGTCTGCGATCTATTACAATTTGAAATACATTTCACTTGCGATCTGTGTTCTGCGTCTATATAAAGCACTTTGTTAAAACTTACCGGACACCTTGTATATATAAATCTTAAAAAAAACATTTTGTGATTTTCAGTCTTAATGATTTTCATCTTAATGATTTTATCTCGATTTTCATAATATTTTCGAATTTAATGGACAAATAAATATTTTTTGTTTCTAAAAAACTCTACATAATTAATATATTGATTCAAAAGTTTTTTTTATATGTTGCTGTGTGTAAAGATACCATGATGGGTGTCAAGATGGAAAGGAATTTAATAGATGAATGGTGGAAAATAAGTGCAAGGTATGTATTTTATTCTAAACTTTTTAATTTATATTCGAACACATTTCGTAATACTTCCAGTGTCAAATTTTAAAGTACAACTTACAACACCAGTCAGTTAATATCAACTAACAGCAACATAACATCAATATATAATTTTATAGTTATAATTTCATTCTTAACAATATAAATATAATCAAGGATACATTTCAAATATTTGTATTTAAAATACAATTTGTATTTCAAATACCCGGTAAAAAATTTGTTATGCATGAATATGCATGTATAAATATGTGTATATTATGTACAACATACATAAACATACATGTATAAATATCCATAAACATATATAATTTTATATGAAATATGTCCTTATAATTCTCAAAAATATAGATATAAGCATAAAATAAATTATAGGTATAAGTAGAAAATAAAAAATGTTTATAACTTGGGAAAGAAGCGTTTCCGAACCCATGTTTATATGACTTTTTTTCATCCTTACAATGAGTGGAATATACTCTTTTGGCCAACTATTTCTGAAACACTCTGTATAAAATTATGGTAATTAAGTAATATAGGGGAACACTTTCCGATGATCTTGTCTTTGACATATGTGGTCATGATTCCGAGTGAATTCAAAAGATTTTAGTCCGCGGTCGTCCTTTGTTAAAAAGTTATTAACAATCAAAGTTGCTAATTATTGTATAAGGAGCGCACAACTTTTCACACCAAGCGACTCTCACCCCCTCCCCCTCTCCTGCTTAAGAGGCACACGACTTCCATAATTGTTGCACAACATTGAAATCCACGTGCAACAGTACAATTATGAAAGTCGTGCGTCGCTTAAGCAAGGAGAAAGATGGGGTGAGAATCCCTTCGTGTTGAAAGTCGAAATCTATATAAAATAGTATTTAATATTGTATGTATAGCAGAAATATAATATTACGTTATTTTTTAACCTTTTTTTTAATAACTTTTTAACGAAGGACAACCGCGGGTTAAAATCTTTTAAAGATCACTCGGGGTCATGACCTTGGCCACATATGTTAAGATCAAGATCATCGGAAAGTGCTTCCCTATACATAATTATCAAAATTATATATAATTGTATATGAACAATTTTTTTACATTTTACCAAACTTGTTTTTTTTTTCTAAAAAAACAATGCGAAAATTATCCCTGTAATTATTTGTTATGTTTTCACACTATTATTATTTCTATTATTATTTCTATTACACTGAAAAATAATTTTATAAAAGAAAGAGGGATGTATGAACATGTATGGACGTATTTTCGATATAATTATACATGTTTATAAATATTTACACTTATACGTTTATGTATATTTATACACATTTATGCATGAAGAATTTTTTACCGGATACACTTCAATGATTTTGTCCAACCCTGTATATAATACATGTTAAGCTAGCGGCACAATGCTTGTTTTTTTACTGAATTGCTAGAATAAATTCTGGCCACTATATTGGCTACGATGAAGATGTATTAGTTACACTATCACAGCCAATACGATTGCAAGATTCTAATCCAGCTAGGAATCCAGCAGGAAAACAAGTATCGTGTCTCGTAAGCTTTATATTGTTGAATGTGGAGCTGTAATATTGAGGAGGTATGTTATTGCAGAATTGATAAGTAACGCGTTTGTTGATAAGTAACGTCGTTACCGTTACAATTACTTTGTTTCGATAATAAATGGGTAAGGATGTTACATTTTCTTGTGAGTAATGTTAACGATAACACAGTTTTTTGAATAACGATAAGTATTTGAAATACGAAAGAAGCCATGATCGGTCAAAGTTGGATGTTTTAAATAATACACATACTATATATTCTTATATTAAATTAATTTATTCCAGATATGATCCGATAACTTTCGGTTTCAATACAATCATTCTGTAATATTGGGAATACAAATAAGTTTCCGCCGTTTGCAAAAGACGGCGCCACTAATAAACTACAGTTAAAATTATTTGATGTAAAACGACATATCGTAAGGTTGGACATCTGGCAATACCATAACCTTGAAATATTAGCGATTTTGTATCATATATTTTTTTTTGTACGAAAATGTCAAGTTTTGAGCCGAATAAAGGTCATTTGCGGGAACTTTTGATTTACTTCTTTAATTTGAAGAAATCTGCAGCTGAGGCTCATTGCTTGTAGAAGCATATGGTGATGCTGCCTTAAGTGAGAGAAGTTGTTGTGATTGGTTTCAAAAGTTTAAGAATGATGAATTTGACATCGAAGACAAAGAAAGTGTACGAAGACACGGAATTGGAAGCATTATTGGATGATGAAGATTCGTGCCAAACGCAAAAAGAACTTGCACTTACATTAAGAGTGACTCAACAAACAATTTCATATTGTTTGAAATTATTGGGAATGATTCAAAAGCAAGGGAATTGGGTTCCATATGAACTGAAGCCGAGAAACGTTGAATGCCGATTTTTCACATGTGAAATGCTGCTTGCCAGACATAAACGAAAGGGTTTTTTACATCATATAGTCACTGGTGATGAAAAATGGATCCACTACGATAACTCAAAGAAGAAGAAATCATGGGGACCATCTGGCCATGCTTCAACATCGAATATTCATAGCAAAGCCGAATATTCATGGAAAACAACTCATGTTGTGTATTTGGTGGGATCAGCTTGGTGTCATGTATTATGAGTTGCTCAAACCGAACGAGACCATTACTGGGGCTCTCTACCGAACACAATTGATGAGATTGAGCCGACCACTCAAGGAAAAACGCGCTCACTACTACTCCAGGCATGACAAAATTATTCTCCTGCATGATAATGCTCCATATGTTGCGGCGCCGGTCAAAACCTACTTAGAAACACTCAAATGGGAAGTTCTATCTCACCCGCCGTATTCTCCAGACATTGCTCCTTCCGACTACCAGTTGTTCCGATCGATGACGCATGACCTGTTTGAACAGCACTTCACATCATATGAAGATACCAAAAATTGTATCGATGATTGGATAGCCTCAAAAGAGCGTTCTTCCGACACGGTATCCACATGCTACCAGAAAGATGGGAAAAAGTAGTGGCTAGCTATGGCCATTACTTTGAATAAAACATTATGTACCGTTCTTTCACAAATGCTTAATTTTTGATAAAAAACAGCGGAAACTTATTTGTACTTCCAATAATAATTCCCTCTAAATTAAATTAGAAAGAAAAAAAAAAAGAAATTTATGTATGTACTGTTGTATGTCATTGCATTGATCTTAACAAGTGTCTTATGTAATATCTGCATGTGATTGCACCGCTTCTGCTTTATATCTTCTGTATTTGGCTCATGATATGCTATTTTTTTGTGTTTTGAAAATTAACAAATTTTTGTTAAACCAAAAATCGGCTCAGAATATGATTAAAAATGTATCCCTTGAAGCACATAAGGTTATTTTAAATTACTTTGTACATCTTTTAAATAGAGATTGTAATGTAATTGAAAAAAGATGTTTTAAAAATTATTGGGAGTACAAATTAGTTCGGTCCGTTTCTTTAAAGATGGCTCCAGCTGTTGTGAATGGTTCATAGTGACAGCTGATTTTCAGAGGGCGGTTTCAGAGAGGTTAAACATCTATTAATAATTCAGTTTATATCGTTTTGAGTTTCATACAAAAACCTTGATTTTTACTATGTTTGAAATGTCAAAGTTTGTGTTAACCAAACAGCATTTGCGGGAGGTTTTGATTTTCTGCTTTAATTGGAAGTGCGACTGAAGCCCATCGAATGCTTGTCGAAGTTTATGATAACACTGCTCCAATTGATAAATCGTGTAGGAAATTTCGGGTTTCGACGTTTCAAGGATGAAGATTTCAGCGTTGAAGGCAAGCCTCGCTCTGGACAGCCAAAAAAATTCGAAGACAAAGAATTAGAGGCATTACTCGAAGAAGATCAGAGTCAAACGCAAGAGGAGCTTACAGAATCATTGGGGGTAACTCAACAAACCGTTTCTGTTGAGAGCCATGGAAATGATTCAAAAACAAAGAAATTGGGTGAACTGAAACCAAGAGACGTTGAAAGGCGATTTTTCACTTGCGAACAGCTGATTCAAAGACAGAGAAAAGGTTTTTTTGCATCGGATTGTGACTGGAGATAAGAAGTGGATATTCTATGACAACCCCAAAAAGAAAAAATACTACGCTAAGCCCGGTCAATCGTTGCCATCGACCTCAACATCAACATTACGGCCGAACATTCATGGTTCGAAGATCATGCTCTGGTGGGATCAAAGGGTCTTGTTTACTATGAACTGCTGAAACCTGACGATTCCATTACGGGCAATCGGTATCGGCTACAATTGATTCGTTTGAGCCGTGCATTAGCCGGAATAAGAACAAAGACATAATAAAGTTATTCTTCTTCATGACAATACTCGATCTCATGTCGCTAAAGTCGTAAAAAAATATTTGGAAACGCTCAAATGGGATGTTTTACCCGCCGTATTTTCCGGACATTGCTCTTTCTGATTACTGGTTGTTCCGAAGGATGCAGTACAATTTGGCAAGTCACCGGTTCACTTTTTTCGCAGAAATCGAAAATTGGCTCCAAAATTGTGGATCGCCTCCAAAAACGATCATTTTTTCGAGATGGAATTCGAAAATTGCCTGAGAGATGGGAAAAAGTAGTAGGCAGCGATGGACAATACTTTAATCTGTTCATTCATTTTGTTTTGAAATAAATGCATTTTTAAACACAAAAAAACGGACCGAACTAATTTGTACTCCC